TGTAGGCTGCATGTCCCCCTCCCTCCATCATGGACTCTCTCCCCCCTTCCCCCCAAGGCTGCGTGCGCCCTGTGGATCTCAGTGGGGCCCCCAAGCCTGGCCTGGCCCCCGAGCTGCACTTTACCTTCCCCATCGAGACCATTGGTGAGTACCCAGGGGGGGTTGGGGCAGCTGAAAGGGCTGTGCCCCCCACACCCCGAACCCTTTGCCGGGTGCCGGCACCCCCTCTCCTGCCAGGCTGCCCTGAGCCAGGGGCCTTTGGGGGAGGGGGAGCCCTTCCTCATCCCCTCCTCTCCGCCCCCCTGCAGTGTGCCTTCAGGACAGCGTGCTGGCCTTCTGGAAGCATGGCATGCAGGGCCGCAGCCTGCAGGATGCACAGGTGAGCGTGGGAGGGGGGGGGGGATGACACCCACCCCCTCAAGTGGGGCCAAGCAGGCAGCTGTGCTGGGGGGAGAGAGAGAGACCTGGCTGGGAGGGGCAGGATCGGGCCATTCCCGTGGTTAGGGAGGAAGGGGAGGGGTCCCTGCTGTGTGCCAGGCATGTGCACAGGTGTACAGGAGTGTGGTTGTGTGGGGATGTGCGTGAGCATGGGTGGGAGCCTATACGCAAGCACGTGTGCATGTACAAGAGCGTGTGCACGTGTGTGTGTGTCCAGGAGTGTTGTGTGAGCACAGGTGTGAGTGTATGGGAGCATGTGTGTACAAGAATGTTTATGGGAGCACAGATATGTGTGTGTACAAGTGAATGGGAGCACAGGTGTGTGTGTACATACAAGAGTGCTTATGTGAGCATATATCTGTGTGTGTATGGGAGCATGTACATGAGTGTGTGTGTGTGTGTGTACATGAGTGTGTAAGCACAAGCTTGCACATGTATCCTTGAGCACGCGCATGTGCATATCCCAGCAGCCCCCCCAGGAAGTGGGGCGCGCAGGGGGGGCCCCCAGGCTGCACCTGACCTCCCCTCCCCCCCAGGTGACGCAGGAGATCACGGATCAGTCGCGGGTCTTCCGGGTGCTGGGAGCGCACAGGTGAGGACGGTGGGGGGGTGCCCCAGCATCATCTAGCCCCCCTCCCCCCCTCCCCCCCCAACA